GGGAGGCCTAGGAGGTGGATCACTTGCGCTCAGGCGTTCAAGACCAGTCTGAGCAAGAGTGAGATCCCCATCTCTACTAAATATGAAAAAAACTGAGGCAAGAGGATCCCTTGAGCCCAAGAGGTTAAGGTTGCTGAGAGCTAGGATGCCATGGCACTACCGAGGGCGACAAAGAGAGACTCAGAATAAATAAATAAAATAAACACAAGAAATGAAATAAAGATACCAACCTATTTTTATAAACAAACAAACAAAATAAAGGGAGAGGCCGAGAAAGACAAAACAACTGTAATCTTTCACATTTGGAAGCTGACTTGGCACTTGGCAGCTACTTAGGCCATATTATTCTCTTATTGAACACAATCTTACAGAATACCATCCTCAGACAAGATTTCTCTAAAACTGGCCAGGCACCATAGCTCATGACTACAACCCCAGCACTTTGGGAGGCTCAAGTGAGAGAATCGCCTGAAGGCCACGAGATTCAGGCCAGCCTTGGCAACACACCGAGACCCTGCCTATAGATTTAAAAATCGGCTGGGTGTTCGGTTGCAAGGTGAAGTCTCAGCTACTCAGGAGGCTGAACCAGGAGGATCACCTTAGCTGGAGAGTTGGAGTTTGCAGCGAGCTCTGATCACTTCACATGCTCTCCAGTCTGAGTGGCAGAGTGAGATCTTGTCTCTAAAGGAAAAAAAAGAAAAAAAAGGAAGATTACTCTGAGACCTTGATAAAATGAGGTAAAGTAAGATTAGATTGGTGCATGATTTTCTTTTTTTTTTAGATAAGCACAACAATAAGGTCACTGTGTCTCCCACAGAATACCAACTTTCCACCCGTGGCCATAATGACAGACTGTACTTCTTTACCAATTATGGTTTGACTTTACCCTTGTCTGCTGACATACAGTGAATCCTTGCTTTTTTTTTTTCCCGAGCTCCACCTGCCACTCACGACGGAGCCAGTTCTTGAAGTCTGGAATCCTTGCTTTTTTAGACCCTTCCTTGAATCACTGAACCAAGCCTGAATCCTGTAATAGGTTCTTTCTTCCCTCTCACTGAGACTCCATGATTCCCCCATGGTGTCTAAAATGGTGTGTATTCTCTCTCCCAGCATGGAATAATTATACATGGTGTGTATTCTCTCTCCCAGCATGGAATAATTATAATACTTCAACCTGTTTGACTATGTACATAACCTCAGTGGTCTGCGGCTGGAGTACACTGACAATATGCTTTGGCTTTTTTCTCTCAGGGCGCCTTTTTTGTTCTTTTTTGAGACGGAGTGTTGCTCTCTTGTGTAGGCTACAGTGCCATGGCTTCAGCCCAGCTCACAGCAACCTCAGACTCCTGGGTTCAAGCAATCCCCCTGCCTCAGTCTCCCAAGTAGCTGGGACTACAGAAGCCTGTCACAATGCCCGGCTGATTTTTTTCTATTTGTAGTAGAAACAGGGTCTAGCTTTGCTCAGGTTGGTCTCCAACTTTGAGCTCAAGGGATCATCCCACCTCAGCCTCCCAGAGTGCTAGGACTGCAGGCCTGAGCAACTGCAACCAGCCTTTTGGGTGCTTTCTTCAGGGTAGAAACCAGCTGCTGAGTAAGTAGACCAACTTCCCTGAAATCACCAGGCTATAGGAAAGCCCAAATTAATTCACAAAAAGACAAAGGGAGATCACATAGAAAACCCCTGAAGCTAAGTGGGAAGAGAGAGAGACAAAGACAGAAACGGAACAAAGAGAGAAAGGGATGCTGGTCAGGACCTCAGGGCTGCAGGCTTAACCTCCTCACCCCTTCACTTTCCAGCTTCAGCCACTTTATGACTGAAGGAGACACCTCCGGCCAGAATGGCCAGGCCCACACCTTCCTGAACGGGCGACACAGCTCACAGCAACTTCAAACTCTTGGGTTTAGTGATTCTCTTGCCTCAGGCTCCCAAGGAGCTGGAACTACAGGCACCCACCACAGTGCTGTGCTATTTTTTGTTGCAGTTGTCATTGTTGTTTAGCAGGCCCAGACCAGATTTGAACCCACCAGCCCAGGTGCATATGGCCAGTGCCCTAGCCACTGAGCTACGGGAGCTGAGCCAAGGTTTTTGTACACTTTCAAAATCCCCAACACCTAAGAATTTTTTCTCAGTAAATTTCCTTTGACAAAAACTTGTGGATTGGTGCCCATAGAGCCATTCAATGTAGTTTAATCCTGATACCAAAATAAGGTAGACTGATCAATACTCCTCAGTCAGGGGATGAGCTCATTTTAGAACAATGTTAGAACAATACTGCTATTGCTACCTTTTTAAAAAACTACCATTGCTTTTTTTTTTTTTTAAATAGATAGGGTCTCGGTTTGTCACCCTGGATAGAGTGCAGAGGGGTCCTCACAGCTCACAGCAACATCACTTTCTGGGCTCAAGAGATCCTCTTGCCTCAGTCTCCCAAGTAGCTGGGACTCCAG